TTTGTCAGAGAACATTTACTATTAAAGCATTTGGAAAAGAAGACAAAATGAGTATGTTACAGTACTTCACATATTATGAGTTATTATAGTGCTCTCCACACATCCATCCATATATTTACCTTGATTAAACACCCATCATGACAATGCCACACAATTCCTTCAACTTTACCCTCACTGCAGCTTTCAAACCAAGACAGTATGTCATTGTGCTTCAAAGTAGGTGGATTCTTTATTTCAAATGCTCCATGTGGTACCAGAAGATGGACAGGGTGCTTCTTGCTTCCTAATCCTATGTTAAAAGAAACAAAAAATCTTCCTGCTAGTTAACATGTGGTAACTCAAAATTTGTTATTGCAGCTATCTTAAAACCACTCTAGAAAGACAGACTTCTAATAGGATACATTGTCCTGCCTTTAAGAGAACAGTTAATTATATTTTTAAGTATCAAATGCAGTTGTCTCCTCACATTTTTATTTATAATTCTTCATTAAAATCTTCTCCTCCTTTTTATATATATGTAATAAACACAGCACATAGAGATTTATACAGCTGTCTGCTTTGTCAGATTGTCCTTGTAATCACCTCCTCAACAACCATCACTAGCTGAATTCTTTGCACTTCCTATCACTATCAATGGCACAAACATCTTAGTTTCTGAAAATCTGGCATAGCTTCTCAAGCATATGGATTAATAGCCAGGCTGTTAACAACTGCATTGCCTCTTCACTGACTGTTCAACATGAACCTTCATCTAAGAATACAGCTATTAGAACTTTGGGTTGCAGTTCTTTCACATACTTAGAAAATGCTTAGACCAGGTACTACTATTTTGCTATCCATCCCTGCAAGTTATTCTAACAGCAAAGCTCAGAAGTTAGAACTCACTTGTGCTCATACTTAATTGTTTTTTTTTGTTAGAAGGCTTTTAAAGGGAGAAGCCATAACCAAAATTTAGCTTACATTACATTTCCTTAAAAAAAATCCTTATTTCATAATTCAAAAATTGCAGCTTGTGATTAACTAGGGGCTTCAGAAAATGGCTGAATAAAATTTTCTACTTCGATGGACTAAACAACAGCAGAAGAGCAAGTGAAAAAAAATAAATGCATCAAGAAACAATCTAAAAAAAATATTTTAATAGTAATACTTAAACCACTTTTTTCCAGTCAAAATATTTTTCCAAAGACTAAAGCAAAGCATTTTTATAGTAAGTCCTAAAAAACCTGCAGGTGAAAAGAGGTTTAATAGAGAGAACTAGTCTCATGAAAACTCAGCTTTCTGAGATGAGTATTTTGGGGTCAGTGTTCCTTCCGCCCTTTCTCTCCTAAGAAGGTTGCTACCGGAGAACTTTTTAATACAACTTACACAAAAGAGATGCATAGTTTTCACTCAAAACTCGCATGAAATTTAAAAAAAAAAAAGGATTTAAGAACAGACTGTACAAACTTACCATATGGATTTGCATTAATATTGGTCCCAATAAGCTCCAATGTTTGTTCCAAAATTTCTGATAATGGCACTGGACTGATTTCCAGAAGCCCTGGGTCAGCATGGCGTTTCAATACCAGTGCTATTTCAGCCTCATAATTTACCACAGATGAGTGCCAGCAGTACTGCTTACTATTTTTCTCCACAGGGACCCAACCTATGGGAGAACACTGCATTTTACCACAGTAAAAAACTGAAGTTCTTAAATGTGTACTAGACCTGTCACATGCATTAAAAAAGCCCACAGTTAACTACAAACAGAGAGTAACAAGAAAACTGTGCAGTATCTCAGAAATGTCTGAAGAACGCAGATGTGACACCTGTGCCATCAGCTGAAGGCCTGTAAGTTTGTCCAGCAAACAGCAATTATCTTCAGTATGTCAGAAGAACTATCCTTCCTGACACCGAATGAATGACATTCCAATTTACTTCTTTTCTGAATATGTTAACTACTATTTTTAACTCTGGAACTAATTTTAATTCACTTCAAAAACTGACACACACATACACACACTCCCTTTCCCCAGTTTTACCTGTGCTGAATCATAGGTACCTGGCATATGTCCGTTTTCATCAGGCAAAGGATTGCCATTAGAGAACTCTATGTCCTTTGCTGGAATCCAGGTATCTGGAACGGGCTTGAAATCCTCTTCAATATTCCAAACAAATTCTAGACACAGAAAAGCAACATTTAGTTTCTGGCAAACTTAGTCAATTTTGCTTTGGTTGTCTTTCAATGCAATTATTAAAATACCATTGATCTAAACCTTGCTTTACAGACAGTAGTCCCAGTTAGTTTGTACAAGCACCAACATCTGTCATGCTCAAGCAGTCTACAATTAGGATGGTTTACAGAAGCATTTAGCCTTTAAGTAGTTTAGAAGTTCAAAAACTACGATTAAAAAAAATAACTACCTATTCCACTTTAAGTAACGAGTGACATTAAAAAAACTGGAGCAGGATCACTGATACTCCCTGTGTTAGTCATTTTTTCAACTGGATAACTTACATTGCCAAAAGAACTCTTCACTAACCTTTGCAATCTTCCAACGAATACAAGAATCGTTTAAACCTCTTGTCACCTTGTTTGTTGGGTTTTCTATCCAGCCTGGCCCATAGATAGGGTTTCCCTAGAGTTTCCAGAGAGAGAAAAGCAGCATTTTACTGAGGTAACCATACCCTGCAGAGTACTGAAATCAACTACATAAAAGGCAAAATATGAATTCTCATTTGCCACTAGAGAGCTTTCATGTTCAAACCCACTGTTTGAATTCATAAATTACATTATATGAATCTAAAAATCTCATTTCCTCCCAAACTCCATACTTCTACTAATCTTCCCCAAGGAAATTATAAAAGTCTCAGTGTGCAAGGAAAACTTACTAATAGGAAATTTTAAAACTGGAATAGTTCCTGGATTGTCATGCTCACTTAAACCATACTTCATGTATTTTAAAGAGTAAAGTCTATAACAACATTATTAACACCTCCTAAGTCGAAGATAACTATTACTTGGTGGTCAAGATGCTTCATCAGAGTTGAATTCACAACAACTGCAAAAAAATAATGCAATTAAAGTGAAAACAAATTAAAACAAAGCTTCCAGTCAGCATAATAAATCTGCATATGTATCTTTCTTATTACCTTTATATGTAGTTACGTAACAGCAGGTTCCATCCACCTTCTCAGTAGGAATTGCATTGTGTATATCTGACTCTAATGCCTTTCCAGTTATAGTTTCAGTTGCCAAAACTTTAAATGGCTGAAAAGAAAACAAATGGCTATGTTACTGTCTTGGTCTCATACAGATTGTTGCTCCTTACAGATGGCCTCTCTACATCCAGTATTACATATTATATGGCTGATGGCAGCTTGGACAGTGCTCTAAGACAGCAGAACCAAGGCAATCTGTTTGCAGGTTCTTTCCCTCTTTCCCATTCTTGATTTGTATTTTTTTTTTCTCTTTCCCATTCTTGATTAGTATTCACAGGTGATTTTGCTTTCCACTTTAAATAGAGAACATAAACCTGAAGAGTTCCAGTCTGACACTGCAATATTTTGAGACATCCCTTCCTCTATTACAGTGGCAATAGAAATTCCTCAGGACTACATCTCCCAAACTTTCACTTTGGAGCTCCATATGGCACCGTATCAGAGCAATACACAGACCAGTGGAGTGTAAGGTGGCAGAAGCATCCTGGTATTAAATACATACCACCAGTGCTGTCAACTAAACACTTTCATGCTTCAAAGGAGCAAAGAAAGACATGAACTGTGGATCTGAAACAAACAGCCAACTAGTACAAACTTCTAGGAGGACTTCTATACATCTTCTCTAACAGTTTTACTGCAAGAATGCAGTAAAAACAGTTGTGTTTGGATTCAAATTTGAATTAAAATCTTTCCCCTATATTTGGTATAATCATCATACCAAATATGATATTTGGTATATTTGGTATAATAATCATATATCAAAATATATAATCATATATATCAAAAGGTATAATCATAACATATCAAAATATATTTGGTATAATCATCATACCTCCTCTGTCTTGCAGAATTCTGGAAACGGAATGCGGAATTAATAAAATGAGAACCTTCCACATACTTTACATGTTACATTACACATTACATTATACGTTACAATGATATGCTACATTACATATTAATGTCCATTACATGTAGGAAATTTTTACATATTACATGTCCATTACATGTAGGAATTAAAATTTCCTATGTAATGTAATGTACATTACGTATTACATTACCTGTTACATGACATGTTACATTACATGTAGGAATTTTTACATATTACATGTGCATTATATGTAGGAATGAAAATTTCCTATGTAATGTAATGTACATTACGTATTACATTACCTGTTACATGACATGTTACATTACATGTAGGAATTTTTACATATTACATGTGCATTATATGTAGGAATGAAAATTTCCTATGTAATGTAATGTACATTACGTATTACATTACCTGTTACATGACATGTTACATTACATGTAGGAATTTTTACATATTACATGTGCATTATATGTAGGAATGAAAATTTCCTATGTAATGTAATGTACATTACGTATTACATTACCTGTTACATGACATGTTACATTACATGTAGGAATTTTTACATATTACATGTGCATTATATGTAGGAATGAAAATTTCCTATGTAATGTAATGTACATTACGTATTACATTACCTGTTACATGACATGTTACATTACATGTAGGAATTTTTACATATTACATGTGCATTATATGTAGGAATGAAAATTTCCTATGTAATGTAATGTACATTACCTGTTACATTGCATGTTACATTACATGTTAAATTACATGTAGGACTTTTTACGTATCACATGTGCATTACATGTGGGAATGAAAATTTCCTATGTAATGTAATGTACATTACCTGTTACATTACATGTACATTACATGTAGGAATTTTTACATAACACAACGTGCATTAGCGATAGCCGCTACCCGCGGCCCGGCGAACCCCCCCGGGCCGAGCCCACCCCCACCTGCCTCCCAACTACCTGTCGCTCCCGCTTGGCCGACGGCTCCTCCTTCACCTCGGTGAGGAACAGACACGGCACCTTGCTCTGCACCGCACCCCGCATGGC